TATCAAAACCCGCTGGTACTGTTCGACCCACCACAGCAGAGGTTGCCCGGCCGTTATATTTACCATCGACAACGATACAATTATTAAATGCAATAATAACCATAATCATGTCTAGATTTAAGATCTTAGTGAAATGGTAATAAATAGCGAAGATCACAAGTGTAGTGCCGACAGTTTGACTGATCACTTTTTGGTGATCGCTTTGCATTCAGACTGTTGTGATAATGCATTGTTAGTATATAGTTCATAATTCGACAGAGCCGATAGTAATTTATATTTATATATTATTGATGATTACGAGTAAATTGGAGCTCTAAATATATGACCTATTTTACATAAATTATTATAATATAACAGTTGTTTATTTAAATATCAAAACGAGTCTAAATATATTTATATTACGTTATCGCTCAGTCTATCCTATTAGGAGGATATTTGCCGTAGGTACTTGCCACGCTTGGCAGGCGGGTTGGCAACCGCAGTTTTTTTTATAGTTATTAGAAAGACGCTGCTGCCCATCTTCTGGTTTGTTCCCCACGGTCGCCTCTGACAACACTGAAGGGACGATATGGGGCAGTGGATATCCTTACACCGCCACTACACGGTCCTGCCAAAAACCATTGAGTTCAGTCGACCCCTAAAGGTTGAGAAAATTTTAAGAGGAGATCTCATCCCTTAAGAAGTTGGGCATACCTTTTAAACTAAGTCATTTATACAATATTTCCACAGTGGTAGAGCCACGCGGCAGCTTTTGCTGTCGCACGGATGGGCCGGCTCGAACCGGGGTGGTACCACGACCTCACAGAATACCAGCGTGAAGTAGAGGTTTACCTCTGCGTTTCGCTTGGTGAGTGCAGGTGGCCGGAGGCCCTTTTTACTGGAAATGAGGCATTCCATCTTAGTCCTCTCGGGTGGCAACGCATCTGCATTTTGATTCGCAAACGAGGATAGATGTAGATGTCTATGGGCCGCAGCAACCACTTACCATCAGGTGGACTGTGTGCTCGTTTGTCACCCTTATCCTATAAAAAAAAAATAAAAAAAAAAAAATATAGGTAGTATCCTGTCAGCAAAATCAATAAACCTGCATCGGCTTAATTTTTATTTAATTGAATTTATTAAATATTTTTGTTTTCTGATATATGTCTCGCAAAGCATGTATGAGGAATATTTTTTGTTTTGTACTAATCGAAGGAAAAAATATACAACAGTGACTGTAATTAAAAATGTCGATGTTTTGGTAATGTTCTATTGTACAAATGTTCAGATTCTGTAAATATTGTTAACTCAGCGAAATTTTATATGAAAAAAAAAATATCTGCTAGTTATGTATAAATGTGATTGTTTTGTGTTATTTATATAGACCGCGTGTAAAATGTAACACATGTATATTTACTACAAAGTAACGTAAGAGCAATCATAAGTCATAACTCATCTCTGCTTGATTGTCAGAAACGTGTTACAAGATGTCTACATACTTATGATGTACATACATAACTTTATATTTTTCTATTATCCTTGTGAATTCATGTTATAAATATAATTGATCATGATAAATACATCTGTACTTTTAAAATAATGATGTATTAATACCTGCTGAGTATATCTTTAAATTAGAATCTACACTCCAGTAACTTTGGAATCCTACTAACATTATCCTACTATCCTACTTTCTAATAATATTATAAACATGAAAGTTTGTAAGGATGTATGGATGTTTGTTGCTCTTCTACGCAAAAACTACTGAATATATTTTAATGAAACTTTACAATAATATATCTCATACATCAAAACACCACATAGGCTATAATTAAAAAAGATATTGTGTAAATTGGTCTACAAGTGTTAAGTAAGTCGGAAAAAATCTGTCTACTGCGAGTTATTTTGGTGTGCGGTGCAAAAACTATAAAGTATAATTGGTTTAAAGTATAATATCTACGTGGACGAAGTCGCGGGCAAAAACTAATAAAGAAATAAATTAACATATCTTGATCAAGCAAGGTTTTACATGATTATGCATATATACGTATATATGTATGTGGGTTATTAAACACTTTTTGTAAAACTTTTTTACCCACGTGTACAAGAATCAATATAGTTTGGTATAGACTGTGGGGTATTTAATCTTGGTATTTAATCCTATGGTTATGAATCAACTAATCTGTACAGGGTATTTGCTTGTGGACGTCAAAAACCAAAGAAGATGACGAACGAGCTTAAAAGTGCACATTTAGAAAATTACTATTGTTTTCTAATATTCCAGGCCCGGTGTTTATAAGAACGTCCCGTGGCGCACGACTCCTGTGCCTAGATGGTTACAAGTTCACGCGTCACAGAGATACCGGTAGTAAAACTCGATGGTACTGTTACAGCCACCGTGGCTGCGGTTGCAAAGCTGTTGTATTCACCGTTGAGGACAACATTATCAAATGCAACAACATACATAACCATAATATATATAATTGATTTAGATATACCGTTACTGTATCAACACTAAGGAGTAACGGTCATATTAGCATAAAGATTTTCGTGGACAAAATCGTGTGATCTTTACATTTCCTTCTTGATTTATCGATCCAAATTTTACCATACAATCATTCAACATAATTAGTATACAAAATATCCTGTAGTTTAGAGCAGTTTTATATCAATTTCACATGTATTTTGCTATATATATATATATATCAATTTTATTTATCAAAAGTATAATCATATATGGTTTTTTAATTTTATTAGTATAGTACGTAAGGGTAATATGGTCATCCGGTTAATATGGTTACTTTCTTATAACTCAAAAACTACAGCCTTATTTGCATAGACGGATTTGTGATACGATATTTCTTCATCAGTCATTCACATAATAAAGGATCAAAAGGGCGCCGCTTTATTGACGCCACTTTGATAGTTGATATTATAGTATTTTAGTCGATTTTAGTATTGGGTAGTGTAGATAGTTTCTTTTTTAAGTTGATTTTTCGAAGTGTTCGTAATTATTCCAAAGGCTTGTTTGCCGTTTTTTTTCTTAATATATTAGTTACAGTATACGAAATTGTGTATTTGTCTCTGTTCTCCTCCTAGTTTTAGTCTTATAGGGCGGCAAAGCTTAAAGTGACCATATTACCCTCACGTACATTAGTCATTTTTAAAATTGTATGTAAATTATTAAATGAAGTTACGTTCCCCAATCCAATGATTTATTAAAAAAAAACAGTAATAAATTTTTTATCTAATTTAAAAATGTGTGTGTACATTATTTTTGACCTTTCAGGCAATCCTTTATATTTAGCAGTGGACTTGTTATCTGCAATAATGACTGTATTCTATATGTAATAAATTTATGGGATAAAAGATTACTACAGCGGACAAAACACTATTGTTCGTGACTGTTTCAGTTTGAGGCTTTGTATCATATGAAAAAACTGATAACTAATGTAATTAAAACGCATTTACGCTTTGTGCTTAGGGATCCGCCTGGGCTGTTACCACCCTTTTAAGTTGGTTGTATGATTATGAGTCTACGAATCTGTAGAGATAATTTTCTATATATATATATATTATTTTCAATTATTACCTACTTTGAAGAACACCTCCCGCCCTCCCTCAATTGCGTGCTCGACGCTGGTGTGTCTTTCATAGTGTAATGGTGTTGGGAGTAGTGGTGCTGGGGTTAGTGGTGACGAGGATAGTGCACACAATTGAGAGAGGGCGGGAGGTGCTCTTTTCAAACTAAGTAAGACACATCATTTTATTTCATTACACGGATATAAACAAAGTAAATTTTACAAACATTTCAAGTATAGAAGTTCAAAACAAAAAAAAAAGAAAACGCTCGAACTTAAGAATGCACATTTAGAGAATTACAATTGTTTGCTATTGTTTCAGGCCCGTTGTTTATGACAACCTCTCGGGGCGCACGAATCATGTGCCTAGATGGTTACAAGTTCCGACGTCACAGAGATTCTGGTTGTAAAACTAGATGGTACTGTTCGAGCCACCACGCCCGCGGTTGCACAGCTGTTGTATTCACCATTGAGGACGACATTATCAAATGCAACAACATTCACAATCATTTGTAGTTCTTAATTTACGTATACCGTCACTGCAATAGCAGTAAGAAATGACAATTATATTGAATTACAAAATTTGTGATCAAAATTTTCTGATCATTGATTTACATATTCCATAACATCAATCCAAATTTTACGTGCCCCGTCAAAACAGCCCCGACAAAACAGCCCCCGACAAAACAGCCCCGACAAAATAGCCCACCGACAAAACAGCCACCGTCAAAACAGCCCCGACAAAACAGCCCAAGTCAAAATAAATACCATACATATCTATAGAATTTATAACTATACTTATACCGTGTATCTACTTCAGTTGGCGATATATGGGAAACTTTTCTATTGTGAGTTTTAGCAAGAAATTATTCCTTATAAAAATTTATACTTTACAATTTGTTCATTCCAACTATTGCAAATGTATCTGAATAATGTTTTCTACAAATGATATCAAATTTAAAATTGTAAGTGGTGTAAAACGAATGTTAATACTTTACGTGACTTTTTTTGGTTCATTTTATGTATTTTTTGTTTTCAAAACTATTGCATCGTCTACACACGAAATAAAAACAAAAATAAATGTAGGTATAAAATTATATTATAATGTATATTTACAAACAAAATTCTACAAACTATATTCGTCAAAGGTTATTAATTACAAAGGTTACAATTATTAATAATTATTATAAAATAAAAATAAATGAAGTTATATAATAATATATCAATTTATAATGTCAGATTGTTGGAAATTCCACGGAGATACGGTAAAAGGTCGTCGTTGTTATAATTTCCCATAAGAGTTTCCAATCGACGATTAAGTTGCACATACTTCTTTTTGGAAGCTTCGGGATTTCTGAAGCCGGCTCGAAAACGTTCCAACTCTATTTCTACCCGGTCTTGTTCCTTCCTGAAGTGGTCTATTAATTTGAAAATACATGGATGGTGACAGTCAACGGTGTGTTGGAAAGCATGATGCCATCCTTCTACAGAGTTGTCATCCTTCTACAGAATGATCCTCATCGCATCTTCATGTTTGGTACTGAAGAAAATTTGGAAGTTTTAGAGGAGCACCGGCACTGGCACGTAGATGGAACCTTTAAAGTAGCCCCACAATTATTTTTACAAGTATTTACCATTCATGCATTGGTAGATAACCGTTCTATTCCGTTGATTTACGTGCTTCTACAGGATAAACGAGAAGAAACATATGTTCGAGTGTTTCAAAAATTGATGGAGTTGAAACCCACTTTAAATCCAATAAGCTGCTTATCCGACTTCGAGAAAGCGATCCAAAATGCAGTTTGCCAGGTATTTCATGGTGTTCAGGTGATGGGTTGTTTATTCCACTTAGGGCAGTGTTTATGGAGGAAAATCCAAGAGCTACATCTTGTAGAAGAATATCGCAATGACGAAAATGTGAGAATGCATTTGAAAATGTTACTAGCGTTATCTTTTGTCCAAGAGGGCGACGTAATCACTGCTTTTGAGGAGCTAACCGAAAGCTGTCCACGAGAAATTGATGCAGTCATCGATTACTGGGAAGATACTTATATAGGACGGCAAAGAAGAAATCGGAGAGCAGATCCAAAATTTCCTATTCATGTATGGAATGTTCATGATAGAGTGCACCAGGGCCTTCCCAGATTTTTTTGCTTCATTTTTAGCTGGATCTGGAGCATGACTGTGTCGAGTCACATTTACCACGACATTTTCCAATGACACTTTGACACGTCCTCGGCAAGGTGTCTCGGCGCATCTCCATGATACACTGCCATCGGTATTAGTTCTCGCCTTACGATACCGGTACCCATCGCTCAACAGTAAATCTTTGCCTTTCTGCGATTGAATAAGTTCCATGATCTTCACCAGACAAAATTCTACAAGACTATAGTTATTTTGTGTGTCCCGATGTTCTTATATATTACTGCTAACGGCCGAAACGTAAATCCCCCCTTCTTGGAACCTACTCATAATAGGTATAGTCCGTTCATCGGTTTAAGAAACTAACTTTTCTTTTACGGGGGATTATCCCCTTACCTGGTGCTGCAATTATAGAACAATTAAGTAATTTATTAACACTTCCCATGTATTTCTAAATGACCCATACTCGTTCAATAGCAATAAGAGGATTATCGCCGCAAGAGGTACAATAGGCATTGTAAACACATTACAAATTACTTTGTATTTCTAAATGACCCATACTCGTTCAATAGCAATAAGAGGATTATCGCCGCAAGAGGTACAATAGGCATTGTAAACACATTACAAATTACTTTGTATTTCTAAATGACCCATACTCGTTCAATAGCAATAAGAGGATTATCGCCGCAAGAGGTACAATAGGCATTGTAGACACATTACAAATTACTTTGTATTTCTAAATGACCCATACTCGTTCAATAGCAATAAGAGGATTATCGCCGCAAGAGGTACAATAGGCATTGTAAACACATTACAAATTACTTTGTATTTCTAAATGACCCATACTCGTTCAATAGCAATAAGAGGATTATCGCCGCAAGAGGTACAATAGGCATTGTAAACACATTACAAATTACTTTGTATTTCTAAATGACCCATACTCGTTCAATAGCAATAAGAGGATTATCGCCGCAAGAGGTACAATAGGCATTGTAAACACATTACAAATTATTTTGTATTTCTAAATGACCCATACTTGTTCAATAGCAATAAGAGGATTATCGCCGCAAGAGGTACAATAGGCATTGTAAACACATTACAAATTACTTTGTATTTCTAAATGACCCATACTCGTTCAATAGCAATAAGAGGATTATCGCCGCAAGAGGTACAATAGGCATTGTAAACACATTACAAATTACTTTGTATTTCTAAATGACCCATACTCGTTCAATAGCAATAAGAGGATTATCGCCGCAAGAGGTACAATAGGCATTGTAAACACATTACAAATTACTTTGTATTTCTAAATGACCCATACTCGTTCAATAGCAATAAGAGGATTATCGCCGCAAGAGGTACAATAGGCATTGTAAACACATTACAAATTACTTTGTATTTCTAAATGACCCATACTCGTTCAATAGCAATAAGAGGATTATCGCCGCAAGAGGTACAATAGGCATTGTAAACACATTACAAATTACTTTGTATTTCTAAATGACCCATACTCGTTCAATAGCAATAAGAGGATTATCGCCGCAAGAGGTACAATAGGCATTGTAAACACATTACAAATTACTTTGTATTTCTAAATGACCCATACTCGTTCAATAGCAATAAGAGGATTATCGCCGCAAGAGGTACAATAGGCATTGTAAACACATTACAAATTATTTTGTATTTCTAAATGACCCATACTCGTTCAATAGCAATAAGAGGATTATCGCCGCAAGAGGTACAATAGGCATTGTAAACACATTACAAATTACTTTGTATTTCTAAATGACCCATACTCGTTCAATAGCAATAAGAGGATTATCGCCGCAAGAGGTACAATAGGCATTGTAAACACATTACAAATTACTTTGTATTTCTAAATGACCCATACTCGTTCAATAGCAATAAGAGGATTATCGCCGCAAGAGGTACAATAGGCATTGTAAACACATTACAAATTACTTTGTATTTCTAAATGACCCATACTCGTTCAATAGCAATAAGAGGATTATCGCCGCAAGAGGTACAATAGGCATTGTAAACACATTACAAATTACTTTCTTAAAGCGATGAACGGACTATAAGTTATTATAACATTTATTCAAATCTGCTAATCGGCTGAAACGTAAATCGCCCCTTCTTGGAACCTACTCATAATAGGTAAGTTAATTAAATTGAAAGCTGAATATAAAATTCCACAATATATTCACAGAAATAATTATTATTATTATATTATATTTTCATTATGTAATATACTCTGAAGATAAAAAGCACGATTATCAATGCAACTAGCAAAGTAATAATATTATACTACCTGTTTACGGGCTGTTTTGTCGGGGGCTGTTTTGACGGGGGCTGTTTTGTCGGTGAGCTGTTTTGTCGGGGCTGTTTTGTCGGGGCTATTCTGTCCGGGGCTGTTATGTCGGGGAACCAAATTTTAAGAGATACTCACTCGACACAATCTATACAAAAAATGTTAACTCCTGTGGTTTGGAAGTTTTTCATATAAATTTCCCATGTAAGTAAGAAGCTCTCTAGCTCATTTTTAATAAAAGTATGTTCATTAATATTATTGGTATTAAGGGCCGTTTTCCATTATCACATAGATCATCATCACATCATCGAATAAATTATAACCTGACTAAATATAAAAATTAAACAATGGGTATCCACGACTTTTTCTGCTATCAGGGCGGCACCGCTTAAAAATGAGGTTTAATAATATTTGACAGATTTCAGAGCAGGAAAGTTAATTTTTTGGAACAATGTAAAGGTTAATGTTACTATTAGTTATATTTTAAATTAATTAGATTTAAAAATAAATAAACTAAACCGCAGATATTCACAATAGTAGAAAAAATTTGAAAAAAAAAGTTAAAATAATGTGCAAAAAATTAGAGAACAAACCACTGAGGAATTGTTTTGTGTACCTCCTAATATAATACTCTAGAGACTGATAAACTTTTAACTAAAACTAACTTCTCAATTAATTTCTATTGTTTAGCAAAAAACATCACCTCAGTGATTATTAGTTATTTCTTACTTACAAATTTTCAAATTTTATTTCTTACAAAATTTTTATAGAACATAATATAGTGGTGGCAAACATTTATTATTACATTTATAGTATTAGATACCCGTGGAAACTTCATTGGTTTTTAGGATTACTTTTATCTGTTTTGTAATGTAATTTATTATTGTACTGTATGTTTCCCATAAAAAGCAAATAAATAAAAACTAGCCCCCTCATTGAGCTATTTTATTCACACAGTTGTACCTTTTATGTTATATTCGCTTATGTTGTATTTTATCTAGGTAATATTTTTTTTATAGAATATTTTTTATTTTATTTAACAAAATTATTGAAATTTACACTGTTAAAGTTTTACAGTCTGCCAAACTGCTCAGCAGTTGGTTGGCAGAAGAAAAATGCTCTCTTATTTCCTAACATGCAAAAAAAAAGGAAAAAGCTTAATACAAATATTCACTCAAATATAACAAATCTATAGTATCCATATATACATATACACATACACATATACATTCGAGGTACACACCTATACATAATAACTGCAGCTTATATTGTTGTAGAATGGATCATCACGATACAAATGTTAAATTTTACTATTTATTAGTATGAACTATTTTAACTTATTTTTAAACTGTGTTTTTGTTTTATGTGTAAGGCATTCTCCCGGTAAATTGTTGTATATTTTCGATGTTAAACATTGAAACGTTCTTTTGCCATAATAATTAGCACATTTATATTGCAATGTTATTACTTTACACGGTCTGCGCCTGTTCTTATTTATGGGCATATAGCTACTCAATGCGTTACATAAGATTGAATAATACTTATCACATGTCGCAAATGATATTTTAAATTGCTCGTCTATCGGTATTAAATTACACTCCTGAAGGAGCTACTCATAATTATACCTAAATTTAATTTTAGCTTTTGGGTTAGCCAATATTTTCATAAATCTAATTTGAAATTGTTATATATGCTACTACCTTATGCTACTAATCCATATTGCAACGTTGACTCAACTAACGCGTAATAAACAACATACAGTACGGCTTTAGATGTTACTTTCTTCAAAAAATGGAATTTACTTAATATGCTTTTTAATTTGTTACACACCTGTTCTATATGGCTACCCCAGTTCATATTTCTATCTATTGTTACGCCTAGATATTTGAAATGTTTTACAAATTCTATAATTGCACATTTACAATTAAGCATATTTTCGTGTATACATTGGTATGTGTGACCCACTATCTTTTGCGTTTTTAATATTATGCGGTGATGACATATGCATTCCTTTAGTTTTTGCTGTGTTAATAATAATTCCATTATCATGAGACCACTTAGTTATGTTGGTGAAATCAATTTGTATCTTTTTCTCTATTTAATCTTGATTTTTGTCAGCATAAAGGATGCACATGTCATCCGCATACATAAAAACAGCACAGTGTTCAATTACATTACATATACTGTTGACGTGCATTATATAGCCCACTGGTCCATATACGGATCCAGTAGGAACACCTGACTTTACATTTTCCTCTTTTCCAGATATATTTTTAATAACAGTCACTATTTTCCTATTTTGCAAATAATTACTTAGCCAATTGTTTATAGGACCTCGTATACCACATTCATCCATTGATTTCAACAAAAGATTATGTTCTAAAGTGTCAAAAGCTTTTTTAAAATCAATAAATATGCTTACTACATGTTTCCTTTCATTTAATCTTTCATTTATATAGTTTGTAAAGATAGTTATGGCTGTAGCTGTACTCCTATTTCTTCGAAATCCATGCTGATGATCTCCTAATATAAAATTATTCTCTAAGAAATCTGTTATTTGTTTAACAATTACTTTTTCGACTTTTTTTCTTTTTCGAATCTTGTTTATTTTATCTTGTTTATTATATTGTTAATAAGGGTCACAAACGAGCACACAGTCCCCTGATGGTAAGTAGTTGCTGTGACCCATAGACATCTATGGGTTTGCGAATTGAAATGCAGATGCGTTGTCAGCCGTGAGGACAAAGATAAAATACCTCTTTTC